AAAAGTTGGACACATTCTATATGGTAATTGGCTCCTGAGACTTAAAAAAACTGCATTTAATCCTCCAGTTTTCCTTTTTTCACAAATCTTGTATCATATTTACACTTACAAGTAATAAAATGAACAGATCTAACTAAGCTTTGACATTTTAGATGCTGGAAAAGGCGTTACTGAATTATAAAAGAGACTTATGGAGCAATGTGGCAGAGGAGGAGTATTAGCCTACAACAGTTAGGCCCTGACTCACTCAGTGTGTACTGTTTTAACAAAAAAATGAATTGTTTAGCTATGCAGATGTTTTACTGATTATTAGAACAGAAGAGGACTGTCGATGGCCTTCGGATACTTTTAAAAAATTTGACCTTAATAAATCTTAAGTGGGGGTGACTACTTGGTATAGAGCTCAGGTGAAAAGCTCATGCTGGGAAGAAAATCTGTGAGTAGTACATGAGTTAATAGGGCATGCTGGAATAATTTCTGTTTCCTGAAGCAAAGCTACTTTTTGCATAGTTATTTTCCTGTGTCATCACTTCTCTTTGATAGCGTTCTTTTAAAATAAATATCAAGTTGCCTAGACAATAAAGTTTCCAAGAATTCCTAGGATAAATCCCAAGTTTGAATTTGGGCAGTAATGTTTTGTCTTTCCTAGACATAGTTAAAACCAATTCAAATAAAGTATACTTTAAAAAAAAAATTCATCTGTTCTCCTAAAGTAAGAGCCAATTCAAATATATCAAGTATTTTAAAATGACTTGGGCTAGAACTCAGTAGCTCATCAAATTGTTGCAAGGGTTAGAGATTCAGATTGAGAGCTAACCAACCAGAAACAGTGCCCAAAATCACATTACACAATTCCCATGAGGATGTCAGTACATCTAGAGACAGACAGACACCACAGCCTGCCCCCAGTGACCCTGCTGGCTCTGAACGATTCTAAATGCTACCCCCTTCTGCCCTGGACTTGACTTTGCTGCAAGAGTTAAGATGTGAGAAAGTGTTAGACTTTCTGAAATAATAAGATAAGGAAAGTTCAGGTAGGCAAAAAGAATGGACAGATTTTCACTAAACCTGATGTTTTGGGCATTGAGTCCTCACTGTGTGCCAGGCACCATGGTCCTCTCTATATGCTAAGTATTTTACAAGCATTTTTTATACCCTGCCCATTCTTCTCTCTTTCCTGTTGGTGGGGTTCAAACTCAGGGCCTCACATGTTCAAGGCAAGCCTTCAGCCACTGAGCAATCCCCCATTTTTATTTTCTATTTTTATAATTCATGTTGCTGTAGGTCACAACCTGATAAAATCCTTTCTGAAAATCAGTGTTTAGGACTGAGTCACTGAGTTCTTACAGACAGATATAGATATGAAGGAGAGAAAATATAGAGTGACTAAGATTGAGGGATTTTGAAAAGGAGATAATTAGATACACGTGCACACACACACACACACACACACACACACACAGCCCAAATAAATGCATCTGGAAGGACAAGGACCCAGATGTTACCCTTCAGCGTTATTTCTTATTTTTCTTCTGTTAAATAGGTTGAAAAACAATGAAATTCTCCTTTGCTTTAGGAAAGTCATTGAGGTTTTTTGTTTTTCTGTTAAAATTTTAATCAGTGCCTTCTCTGGAATAAACAGTAAGTTTAAGGCTTTAAGAAATCAACTAATTTTATTGTGAATTAATAATAATGGAATACTTTATGTTAATTTATTAATAATAATAATAATGGAATACTTAAGTATATATGTATATCTATACAAAGAACGGGATAGAAATGTTAAACTATTTTGGTAAACACTATGTACCCATTCTTACATTTTTTCCTTCTTCTCTGTGGGTATGGAATAGCAATCAGTCATTGAGAATGATTCCAGTTAATTGGAAATGAAAACTAAGTTTTTGTTGTTCGTTTGTTTATGTCATGTTGGAGATGGAATCCCAGGCCTCACACATGCTAGGCATCCTTGCTCTCTCACTGAGCTACGTACCCAGCTCTGAAAACCAAGGAGGCTGATTTATTCAATCACTTCCTTCATATCCAAGTGTCATGTGTTCTTTGCATCCCCCCATTAATGCCAGAGCTTCTTAAAATACATATAGACACATTGCCAGTCCTCTGAAATAGCTCTTGTCCTGTGCTCTTCCTGTCTTACTCTTGATCAGTTCTCTTAAATTTAATTGTCACACGTTCTTTGGATGCATCAGTTAATGTCCTAAGTTTCTTCTTACTGTATAACTGAACTTTTCCCCTTTTTGTCTTTCTCTAAAGCAACTTTAGAAAAATGGCAAAATTTCATGAATAAGTAAACTGGATTTACATGTTATTCCTATGGTGTGAATGTGGGATTTATGACTAATAATTTTATATCAGGTTACTGCAGAGATTTATATAGTGGAAAAAAAAACAGACTGAAGATTTTGAATCCTGGACCCATCTTTGTTGGGGACCAATTGTCTAACTGTGTGCTTTCTTTGTCTTTCACATAGGGGAGTTCTGAAAATCAAATAAGCTAATGTATATATTTGGCACACAGATAATTTGTTCAGTAAAGATAACTTTTTTTAAAATTTTTTTGAGACAAGGTCTCACTATTAGTTCACGGTGACGTTGAACTCACTGTGTAGCCCAGGCTGTCCTTGAATTTACAGTGATCCTGCCTACAGGCATGCTCCTCCATGCCTGGCAATAACTTTAATGTCTTTGACTCTGTTTAATGTCTGATTTTTAAGTGGGAATATCTCTACTTAAAAATGTGTAAGTGTTCTCTCTCTGCTCCTTCAAAAGTAGATTTTGCCTCATGTAAAGGTACAAGATCCCAATAATGAATGTAACTGTGCTGTATACCTAAAATGTATCAATAAACTCAATAAAAAAGTAGATTTTGACATTAAATTTCATCATCCAGTTCTTGAAACTCCTGCTGATGGTGTTTATCATACTTTTGGATTTTGATGAATGTTTTGTTTGAGACCGTCTTACTGTATAGACTAGACTAGCCTTGAATTTACGATCCTCCTACCTCAGCCTGTTGGTTGCTTAGATTATAGACGTATGATACTATGTAGTGGTTTTGGTTTATTTTTATACCTTGGTTTATGTGAGAGTCATAGTAAGTGTTTTGTGAAATTTAAGGGAAAATAGATTGTTTAGATAAAAAGCATGTGGATTTGTTAGCTTTTGGGCAATTCTAGAGATTTCTTGCCAGAAATGGTATCTTTGTTTTGTTCCTCATGAACTATTAAATGTGATCACTGAGTCATACTTTGTTTTCTCTGTCCCTTGCATCTCTCTGAAATCCCTAAGTTTTTTAGCCACAGGATACTTAAAAGACAAGAGTAGGCCTCAGACCCAGGGGAGTTCTTTATTTAAAGGAAAATAATTAAATTCAAACATCTCTACCATGCAAATTTAGTCATGTTAAGAATTAGAAGTTCACTGGGCATGGTGGCACATGCCTGTAAGCCCAGCACTCAGGAGGCTGAGGCAGGAGGATTGCTGTGAGTTCGAGACTAGCCTGGGCTACATAGTGAGTTTCAAGTCAGTCTCAAGTAGTAGTGAGACCCTGTCTCAAAAAGCCCCCCCACCAAAAAAAAGAATTAGAAGTTCATGGGCCAGGGATTTAGCTCAGTGGCGCCATGCCTGCCTCACCAAGCATAAGATCCTGAGTTCAATCCCCACTACCAAAAAGAAAGAAAGACAGAAAAAAAAGAATTAGAAGTTCTTTTGATTCTCTCTGGTGGTTCTAGTACCTAAGGGTAACAAATTTGAAGTAGCTGAACTTTTCCTATTACTTGGAACTTTATAATGTATTCACAAGTGGAAATCCATAAAGTAGGGAGGAAAGGAAATGATTACATTGGTATTTGTTTTTAATAAAATATATTTACTTAAAAGTACGAGTTTTTTCTAGAGTTAACAGTACAAATAATTTAACGACAAAACAAAACAACACCACCTTTTTTTGTTTGTTTGTTTTTTGAGACAGGGTCTCACTATGTAGTTGAGACTGACCTGGAACTCACTATGTAGCCCAGGCTGCCCTTGAACTCAACATTCCTCCTGTCTCAGCCTCCAGTGCCCTACTTCACTTTTATTACTTTGAATCCTGTAAGGAAGACATCTCACTATCTGACTGCTTGATTACTTGGTACTTTTATATGAAGTTTGTTGTCCTAGCAAATTCTGTAAAAGAATTGATGTCTTCAGGCTTTGCTTTTTTTTTTTTTTCTCTCTCATTGAGTTTATTGGTACATTTTAGGTATGCAGTACAGTTACACTCATTATTGGGATCTTGTACCTTTACATGACAGGTCTTGGTTCTCATTTTTTCCTCTTGTTCCTGCCCTCCCTTCACCCCTCTTCCTCTCCCCATTTACAAACACTTTATTTCCATTTTTTCATTTTCTCATATTTTTTTCCCTCAGGCTTTGCTATTTTAAAATTCTGAAAGGTTAAATATTGTATTAACTAAAGTTAATTCATCAGTTTATTCATTCTTTCAGTAAATATTTACAGAGCACTTCTGGTATGACAGTCATTATTTTAGGTGCTTAAAAATGTCAAAACTGATGAAACTTTCTGGGATTTTCATTCTAGGTAATGGGTAAATAGACAATAAATACAGTAAGTAAACAGTTTATGGTGTTCAAATGTGTGATTTTAGAGCTCCTAATCTACACTTTCCTTTTTCCCCTTTTTTTCTTGTCTCAGTGCGTAAATGACACTCAGGAATTGTGAGGCCCAGCTGGGTAAAAGGCATCAGTGGCCAAAACATTCTGCTCCTGTGGGACAACAGCCAATTTCTATCCCTCCCACTTCACCCTCAACCCTGTTTGTAATATTTTCTTGTTTAGTTTTGTTTTTATTAAGATTGCTCAATCATTATTTTTATGGTTCTCTTGTAACTACAAATTAGGTAATTATCTTTAAAAATTGTAAATTTTTAGTACTATATACACAAGGTCCCATTTTTAATAACTGTACCTTTATTTCAGAAATGGCCATTAAGAAGTAGATGTCCAGATGCAAAGGGGATGAAACAGTCCATTTGTCATAAAATAAGATGCAGCTGTGGCTTTTCAACCAGATTAGTAAGTGTAACCAAATCTTTTAACTGTACTTTTTTATCTGTTGCTTTGGAGAACATTTAATAAAAATATGGTGGACATTAGAAAAGTGTCACCTTATATTTTTTACTTTGTAGTTTAAATTCTAGAGTATAGCAATAGAAAATATATGTCTGTGCTGTACCTTTTTAAGAATCTTGAAGGTGGTAATAGTAAATCACAGATACAGAGAAAATGCCATTATCTGAATATAGCTACTCATAATTTTGGAGGCTGGGCATGATGATTCATACCTGTAATCCTAGGACTCAGGAGGCTGAGGCAGGAGGATCATGGTGAATTTGAGGCCATCCTGGACTACGTAGCAAGACCCTCTCTCAAAAAAATTTTTTTAATGCACTTTTCTTCTTCAGTCTTTGTTCTATATATTTTTAATTTTGATCATATTTTGTAGAGTATGCTTCTTACATATCTTTTTAAAATTAAATTTGTTTCAGATGCTTCTTCCTGGAATTAGAAATAGGCCCTTAATTATGGGGTTTCTTGATATTCTGGAATTAGATGGTGGTAATGGTTACAAAACTTTGTAAATACATTAAAAGCTCATGTTGAAATGGATAAATTTCATGATGTATGAATTATATCTTTTAAAAAATCAGCCTTTAGAATATGGTCTTGGAGAAAGTAAAATTCACTTGTTATTAATGTTTTAGAATATGAAGATGTGTCACATATTATTATATATCTAGAAAAAATGAATTGATATTTGGTCCATAAAATACTGTTTTAATAATAAAATTAATTTTATGAGTTTTTTATTAAAATACTTTTATTAGAGACCTGATGTTTTTTAAGCTTTGGTAGTAGCAATTTTGAATGTACTAAGTAAGCAGCTTATAACTTAAAAGACTATTTTGAAACTAACATCTCAACTTTTCTACCTGAAATTTTTTTTAGGAACAAAATTATATCTGTTTTTCTCAGAAGAGAATTCCACAAGGTGAGAAATTGTTAATATAGTCATTAAATATAGTCGAATCCGTGCTTAGTAGCTCATGATTGTTTTATCCTGTTCCCCATATTTATATATCTTTTCTTGATTATTATAAGGTTCTCAAAAATTTATTAGCCTCTCTTTTACTACTTTTTGCTAGCAAGACAAAGGTCTTATTTGAAGTTAAAATTAGAAGAGTTTGGTAAAAGTAGTCATCTGTGAAACTCTAGTATTGTTCCGAGCTCCTTGAGAGTAGTTTTATTTTGTTTTGCTTTTTGGTTCCAGGGATTGAACTCCGAACCTTGCGCTTGCGAGGCAGGCAGTGGAACAACTGAGCTAAATCCCCAGCCTCTTGAGAGTAGTTTTATCTCTTGGGAAAGAAAAGTTCTTTATCATTGAGGTTCAGTAGCTATTGCCTAAGTGATTTCAGGTTTCATTTTTGTTTGTTTGTTCTTTTAACTAATCCTGCTACTCTGTCAACTAACTGATCCTTTGCTCTGTTCTTGTATAGAAGATGTACTTGCTAGGTAATTTGTGAGAGAAGTGTTTCTAACGAGGAAGAACCTCACTGCCTGAGAAATTTAAACACATATACAAACAAAAATATAAAAAATAAATAATGTACGTGACAGTCACTGAATCTTAAGGTTCATTAAAGCAGTATTTATTAAATTGATATAAATTTTGTCTAGTTCTGTTGCACAGAAAAGTATTTTCATATACATATCCAATTTAGGGTGAATACCATAAACTTGGATATATTTAGGCCAGACCATGCCCATTTATTTTCTTTCATTAGTCTCATTTTGGCAGGTGGGACATTAAAATTTTTATGTGGGTATAGAATGAGTAATTTGATTTCATAGTTCAGAATGTAGTTAATTTCTCCTCCACCAAATTATTTGTTTATAGTATGAAGATCAGGTACTAGATTTTAAACCTGTATCTTTTATCTTGAGAGGCTAATTTGGTTCAGTGTCAATTACAGGTAGAGGTCAAGATTGGTTTTGAGTAATTCAGTGTTGTATTAGGTCATGCTAGATCTACAGGGTCTTTTCATTTGAGCCTGGGGAAAGGTGTTGAGAAATTTCACATGTAGCTGATAGAATAAAGGAATGCTGATTGATTGATTGATGGATGGATGGATGGATGGTCCATTTAATACCTTGGAGTATGGGACTTTGGAGTGTAGTTTTGTTGTTATTATTAGTGGTGTGGTAACAATGCTGGGGATTGAACCTAGGGCCTTGTGTGCTGCACAGGCATTCTACCACTGAGCTGCAGCCCCAGTTCCTAGCAGTGTTTTTGATATTCAAAGAAAAGACCATGATATTTAAGAAGCACAGGTCTACTGACTGATCTCTGACTGTACATTAAACTTTCAGTTATTATAGTTTCATTTAGTTGAATTTAAATTTTATCCATGAAAGTGTG